TTCTATAGTCTCACAAATTAGAAAAAAATAGTTAACAAATTATATACTTAAAGATTTAAAAAGGGTTAATTGTTCAACTTTATTAAATGAACCAATCCAAAAAAGAATATTAAATTTAATTATCTCTTATAGCTGTTCTACCACCATTGAAATAAGAACCCATTTCAAAATAAATTAAGATATTGAAATTTCAATATCTATATTTATTATATACTTCAAAATCATGGTTTAGTATTAGTATTAAAAAAAAATTTTATCTGAATAATAGTCATCGAAAAATATAACTCACTTTTGTAAAAAAATATAAAAAATAAATCATTGAAGATTAACCCAAGATAATTTGATCAGATGAGTCAAGGTTCCAAATTTTTGGATCAGATGATAAGCAATACTATTAAAAACATTATAGAGAATCATTAAATCAGTTTCATGTTAAGTCCATTATGAAATATAATAACAGATCAATTATGATTTGAGGTTGCTTTATCTTTTGTGATGTTGACAGCTATTGTAAAGTAAATGGTATAATAGATATGGATCTGTACCTAAAAGTACTTTATGAAATTTGATGTGGATAATTGAGGATCATGGATTTGAAGTTGGTGAAGTTGTTTTTCAATAAGATGGAACATTATTATATGATAACCTTGATCAAACATTGGATTACAAGGAAAAAAATAAAGTTTTTCAACTGACTTTCCCAATCAGCCAATCTAAACCTGATTGAACACTTGTGGAATGAAGTTGATCATCACCTTAGAGACCTCCCTGATCAAATTTCAAGTGAAAAGAACCTCTGGGAAAAATTTCAGATGGTTTGGCAGGCAATTAATGTTGAAACCTGCATGAGGTTAATTCGTACAATGCCAGAACGAATCCATAATGTAACTAGAACCCGGGCGGCTACACCAAATGGTGATAGCTGAAAATTATTAGAAAAAAAAAAATTTTTTTTTTTATTTTACAATTGTGTTGGTGTTAAAACGAGCAAAAATAATGCAACACGTATATTGAAATAAAGCTCGTGCCCCCCAAAAATTTTGATCATTAAATTTTTAAATCTTTTTTATTAATGATAATATTGCTATTTGCGAATAAAATAAAAAAAAATTTAACAAATACGCCCGGAATTGCGTGAGATAATACGATCCGACTAAATTTTTTTTTTGTTGCATTATTTATGATCGCAGTGTATTCCATCTTTTTACTTTTGATTTTTTGATCACGAATCCCTTAAATAAAATGAATTTCTTATTACATTTTTGTAGTTACATTAACAATGAACTCGGCGAATACAACTTTTCAAATCTAAGTTGGTGCACTAAATTCAAGACGGACATCTTATGATGAAAAGGCTTAAGAACATTGTTGACAATTAGATTAACCAATGGTATTAGATGATTAATTGGACTAACCAATGGTATTAGATAATTAATTGGATTAGCCAATGATATTCATTAGTTTGTTGCCAATTTTATGGGCAGCGAAGCTGCTTACATGATCATGTCTCTAGTTTTCTAAAAAAAAGTTACGCATAAAATTTAATACAAGAAAACCGTGTCATAGTTAGGGTTAAGAAAATCTAGCATTTATTAGTAAAATTTTACAAGAAACATTTTTTTTAATCAGGCCGCTGAAGGTGGCTTCTTAATTAAAATTTAGAACTATTCTTGCTTTTTGTAAAAAAAAAAAAAAAGGGGTTCGTTTCGACTTTTACGTTATCTAAATTCGATTGGTCAAATTACGGGGGATGGCAAATTTTTTGTAAAACTAGGAAAGTTTAATACTGTCGTTCACAAAGCTATGAAAGAAAAGAAGAAAAAAAACTAAAAAAAAAACGGAAATGACTGGTTTTACAAATTTGTTTATTTTACGTTGAATTTCCTTTTTTTGAGTTTGTATTACTTGCGGGTTTGAGGGTCATCAGATCTCAGAACCTAAATCACAACAAAGACTAAAACTAATTGAAAAAAAGCGTGGAATCTTTGGTCTGAGAACCAAGGGTCCTATGGCCACTAGGATCCCTGGGATAGGTAGTCTTTATTACGATTTTTACTTATTATTTTTCTGCTTGTTCCTACATTACGAACAACATTGTGGCACTATCACAAATAAGATTTTACAAGCAATACGTATGGCTATTTAGAGAATCGGGGGAATCTATGGCTAACGATAGGTAATTGATACACATTTACATGACAATGACTTTAGTTCCCACCATTTGAATACCAGAGGCGCCTTACTATTGTTCCCAATGGAACATCGCCTTGAGAAATACCCTAATTAGTATTATTAAATGTCTTTACATTTATCGATCAATGCGCATTTCAAGAGATTGCTGCAGATCACATTACACACCGTCACAAACCCGTGACCCTAGGACCTTGGAGAATGACCTACGAAACGTTACACGAAAAGTCGTCGTACCATGATGCTCCAGACCAAGAGACCGAACGATGATCCTCCTTGCAGTTGAATTTACGCCGTAGATCCCATTGAGTAGGAGGCACTTACCAGATATAGCTTGACAAGTCAAGGTAATATTACCTTGCTAAGTGTGTGACTATGGTAACGTCGAACGATTGAGTCAATGGGTCGTGCTGTTACACTCAAAACTACTTCTTATAAGTTTGTTATAATAACTAGTTTACTTTAGCGACGACGGATACATTAGAAATGGACAATTAATACTAAGTGAAGGATAAGGTTTTGTTGCAGTTACGCTTTAAGAGGTTTAATTGATTTGTTTTTACGAAGGAGACTACAACTAAATGTATATATAGTCATTTAAGAGTATTAAGTTGTTTATTATGAAGTTCTATCACGATAGTCACTTAACGATTAAATCGAGGTTTATCTCATGTATGAAGACACTTTAATATTTATTTATTAAAGGTGATATCGATTTGCAGGGGGATATTTATACATGTTTAAAAGCTAATATGGATGACTATTATGAGTCAGTGCAGTGTTATTGTAAAGTTTATTAGCAAATGCTTTTAATCCTTCTGCTCCAAGTTCATTAAATTGAATATTCAAATCTTTCAATGTAGTGTTATTACAAGGTACATCAGCTATTGCTTCTTCTTTTGATCCAAGATTAATATAAAGACGTCAGTGTAATTCTTGCAAAGTGCATCTGCTAATGCTTTTCCTCCCTTCAATCCAAGGTTATTATCTCCAAGATTTAAAAAGTCAGTGTAGTATTCTTATAAAGTACATCCGTTAATGCTTTTCCTTCTAATTCAAGAATATTTAAATTAAGATTCAAATCTTTTAAGTGTAATATTTTTGCCTAGTGCAATTACTAATGCTTTTTCACCTTCTGATCCAAGATTATTATTTTCAAGATTCTAAGAAGTTAGTTTGGTGTTTTTGCAAAGTGCATTCGCTAATGCTTTTCCTCATAGCTGGTAGATCTTTGCATCTTCAAGGCAATAATCTTGGATCAGAATGAGGAAAAGAATTAGAAGATGCACTTTATAAGAACAATACCTTGGAAATTTTATATATTTGGAATAATAATATTAATTTTACTATAAAACCTAATAATTCATATATCAATAAATTATGTTTAGTATATATGTAATGTGTATAAACGCAATTGTAAATCTTGTAATATAAAATAATTAGTAACAAAACCAAAATTTAAAGCCTCAAATAAATAATTTTATGCATCAAGCTAAAATGCTTTTTTAAAGAATAATGTGTGTATGTAAAAAGAAAGGAACTTATTTTAAAATGAATTTATCAAAAAGTTTTAATCAAATAAGATGGAATGACCTTCAAGATTTTGACGTCACTCGATTCATCACATTGAGATGGACCGAATAATTCAATTGTTGGGTCATGAAATATTTCAATTCTTCAAAATATCTTTTGTTATCTTGAAATATAGCATTTTAATTGGAAATCCTGATTGACACTCTCTTATTAAAAACACTATCTATGGAAATTTAACGGCCTTAATTACGTATAATGACAGCTCCTACCGAATAATTACGTGCATATATGTGCTATTAATGTACTGCATTACCTTTAAGTAGATTGAAACCCATTTTTTTCAAGGTATTATTCTGATGAAATTGTTAGCATTATTCGTAGCAATGATACTAATTTTGTTTGACTACGTTCTTTCTGGAAACAAACTCAAGTTACAGTATGTATGTAGACATAAGCACAAAGCATTTATAACTAACTTTATAAAGTCCAATGCAAGTTTATCTGCATATGTTACACGGTCATTACATAAAAACTTTCTCGCCTTCTCGTATAACAAAATTAATAATGTTCATTTAAAATACGTATTTAGACAATACCGACCGGTCAATACACTTTAACGAATTTATGGTTTTTTTTCTTTATTTAGAAACTTAATTCTGTTAAGAATGTCAAAAATGCCCAAAGAGAGTAGTTACCTCTAACTAAATTCGGAGATTAAATCCGCCAAATGTCAAATCAGAGATTATATTAATAGAATACATAATTAAATCAGAACGAACTTGTAATCAATCTGAAGGAAAAAAGTTCGAGTTACATCTAATTTTTGTGTTTTAAATTAAAAAAAGCGTTATTACATATCTAATTTTTAAAACTTGATTATCCGCAGACAAACTTTGGACAATAATAGCATTATTATAATACAACAGGCGCAGGAATAGTTGCAAATCCTACCTAAAATAGTAAATAACCCTAATTAAGTATAGATCTTCAAGAATGTTCACGTAAATGATGATCAGCTACGTAAAAAGTTACGTAACTTTGCATGCCTCACACTAAAGGGACAAAAATAAAGGTCTTATTCTCAAAATGATCTTATTAATTAAGGAAACAAGTTTTTTTTAGAAATGCTAATCGCTTTTAAAATAATCTTAGAATAAGATTAATATAATAAGGAGATAATAATAAGACAAAAGATTTAAAAACCGGGTAGTTTTTTATAGCATACACTGAAACTGATAAATATTTTTCTTACAAGCTTTTAAATAAATAAAAAAACAATGCATAAATCCTTTGGATTTGTTATTTTTCTATTATTCATTAACTTTGCCACTTCTTTTCCATATTCCATCTTTCGACGTGATTCATTATCAGGATTTACTAAATGTAACGGCACATTTCCAATCGAAATTACTTCTTTCTCTTTTAGTCCGAACCCAGTAATTATAGGACAAAATGTTACATTTACTTTTTCCTTCGTAAGCACAGAAACAATTCAACAAGGGGTAACATTAAATGACACAGCATATTATCAACAACAAGTAGTGTTTACTGATGGATTTGACTTTTGTAAAGAAGGATTGGAGTGAGTGGCTATAACTGCCCTCTTGAGCCCGGAAATTATACAATTGTATCTTCTGGGTATTTGACACCTACTCCAAATGACCCGAAAAACATTACAATCGAGTATGATCTAAAATTTGAAGGTATGTTTTGTTTTTAAAGTTTCATAATTGATTGTTAAAAATTCCTAATTATATATATATATGTATATCAGTTGCTAATCCCGGAAATCCTGCAACTATCCTGACTTGTATGGAAGGAAAATATCCTATTCATTTTCCGTAATAGTAACAAGTAAACTGGCTCTACTGAAGTCTGGAATGATTTTATTTTTAGTTCTAATAAAATTATGCACTTTTTATAATTTGAAGTTAAGTTTTGGGTTAGCATCACTTTAGGTCTCTTGGAAATGGGAGAAAGTAAACTACGGGATATTGTTAACCGAAGATTTAACTATATGTTTTATACATCTTCGTTAATTGTTTTCTGGATAATTATTATAATTACTATTGTCGCATTTTTATTATCCATTGTCAATTTTTTAATTACATAATATCAGATATTAATTTGGTTACAAAATTGATATGTATACATTACCGATAACATTTTGACTAATAGTTACATATAGTAAATTATTAATATCATGACATGAAATAAAACTATGAATTATACCTCACCATCAATTTTATTATCTAAACTATAGGTACCGCATTCTAATAAAAAAAAAAAAGCTTTTTTAAACATGATCTATTAATACATGTTGGTTTATAAATCTTTTACAAATACTATTTTGTGGTCCAATGTGCTTTACTAATATCAGAAAATAAATAACTTATATGTACACATATTTATACAATGTTGCACTATCCAAGAATTAATCATTCGCATTACATACCTATCTATGTCAGATATGGCAAATTGTGTCATTAATTTTGATTTTTATAGTTACTTTATATAGATTATTTAATGCAAATAATATATTAAAAACTTTCTGCTGTAGCGTGTGAAAGGTGCTGAGGTGAATCTAACGAATATGGATTGGGCATGATGCATTCACCGTACAATTTGTACATAGTGAACACAGTGAACATTTGTATATAGTGAACATAGTGAGCATAGTGAGCATAGTGAACATGTTAAACACCTTAGACATTTTTGACATAGGAACTAAGGTTAATATGTTAAATATAGTGAACATGGCATATTTGTTAAACTTGATAGTTTTAGTGAATAAGCTGAATTGTTTATAATATAAAACTAATAGTGCAAAGATATAAAAGCACCACCTTTCATCTTCAATAAAATAGTGGATAGTTTTAATTTACTGTTTTTTAGCTCTCACCAATAAGAAACATCTGTATGAACGCTAGGAATTGTAACTATCAAGTGCTTCAATCAATGGATCAAAAAGTGTCAGGGAATAAATGTTATTTAGCAGAAAATATTTAAAATTAAGTAATCATGTTTATCATTACAATAAATATATATAACGTAATAAAGCTTATTACATAAATATGATATTTTTATTAGTAAAAATTAATGAAATGACTATGGCATTTAAATCAATAAACTTTTTTTAACAAATCACCTTTTTTTTTATTCCTGACTTGAAAAATTCTACAATTAATTGAGTTTTCAAAGAGATGCACAAGCAAATTACCATAGATCATCATGTTTAGTAATGAATTATTATTTTACTTTTCACATTAAAAGATTTTATAGATAATAAAAAAGATCTGCAAGCCCAAAAAACAATAACTGACACCTATCATCCCTTAGCTTTTACCACATAGCAACAAGTTCAACTATTCTGTTAATAATCTCTTTATCTAATACAACAACTTAACATCAGTAAAGACCTAAAACTAGTGTATTTTAGATTGACATTTTTCTATATTTAACTAATAATGAAGGTTATAATTCTTTTTATTTTCATTTTTGTATCACTTTTCAATATTTAATGTTATTGTTTCTCAATTAAAAACACATTTTGCTTTTAAATCTGAAACTTTTAATGCAACACCTATATGGAAGCTAATTGTTATTGTTTTGTAATATTTAACTAATCAAGCAAATATGTGAATTTTAGAACAAATTCTTGAAATGAGTCAAGAATCTGTTATTTATTTTATAAATCAATTCTTGAAGATATTATTGAATTTGAAATAAAAAAGAATAAAGTGATCATAAAATATATAACTAGTAATAATTATTCAAAAATTTGAATATAAAATGACTAGTTTAAAATAATATTATTGGTACAATAGATGGGTTACATATACCTATTCATCTTCTTATCAAAAATGATTTACATTTTATAAATTATAAAAGTATTATTCAATTAATCTCCTTAAAGTTATAAATAATTATTAACAATTTATATATATAAGTTAAAAAAATAAGTTAGTATAATTATTTTAATATAATTCAATATATATATATAAATATATATAAAATTAGTGATACAAAATTTTCAAATTATAATATGATTAAAAAGATTCAAAATAATGTTTGTTCTATTAAAAATTATTAATAATTCAAAAAAGTATAAAAAACTATTATTATATACTAATAAAAAATTTTTTATTAAATAAATTTATTATAAAACTATTTTTTTCTTAATCATAATTTTAATCTAGTCTTTATTACTAATTTTATACATATTTATAATATATTATATATATTTTTTTAAATTTATTTATTTTAAATTTCTAATTATTAAATTATTTTAAAAAAGAATATATATGATATATATGTATTTTATTAATTATTTCTTTGCTATAAAAATTTTTATAATTATGAACAATAAGTTCTAGAAAATTCTTATATTATTTCAATTCTATATATCTTTTTAAAACTTATTTTTTAATGAAATTATTTTCTAATTATAATATATTAATAAATTATAAAATTATAAACAACAATTTAATAAATTCTTTCTTTAATAAAAATGATTGTTAGAAAGATATTTAACTTTTAAAAAGAAAACAAAGAATTTTATTATATAAATTTAGAATAAATTAATCAAATAATTTATATTTATTATATCTTATATAATATTTGTTTTAATAAAAATGATTTATTATTTAATAAAAATATATATTTATTATAAAAATAATAAAATTATAAATAATTATAAAAATAATAAAATTGTAAATAATTATAAAAATAAAATTAATAATAATAATAATAACAAAAATAAAAAAATATTTATTGTTAATACAAAAAAGAAAAAGAATAGTAGATATACAAAAAAAAATTTGATAAATTATTTAATGAATAGATAAGATATATATTAATATAATATTTATATATATTTTTTATATAATAATATATATTTAATAATATATATATATTTTATAATCTATTATATATATATAATTAATTTTTAAAATTTTATATGAAACTGTTTAAAATTTTCTATTTGTTTACTATACTGTTTTTAATAAATATTATTAGTATATAAATATTAATACTTTATAGTTTTAATAATTAATTCTATTTGTTTATCAATATATATTAAAATATTATTAAATAGATTCTTTTTTTTTTTTTTTTTTTTTTTTTTTTTGTTATGCCAAAGTAGAAACTTTATTAAGTAATAAAACAATTACATTAA